AACTCATACTCACGAGACAAATCCAATTTATTATTCGCCCTTTACATGTTTCAAACACACTGAAAACAAGTGCGAAAGTAATGGTGGACAATTGAATGCTACCCAGGCATTGATGGCAAATAATAAACACTATAATTATATTAGTTCATCGGCGGATCATGGTCAGCATGGTGCATTCAAGCAACGTTTGGAACGGCCATTTCGTGAACGTTTCTATATATCTTCTAGCAATAATTCAAGTAATTCTTCAAGCGACAGTGTTCATGCTCGTCTACATCAAGGTATAGAAGGGTCGCAGCAGCAACAGCCGTCAGCATCTGGAAATGGTAATTCGGGAGGTGTTAAAGTCGGAATTGCATCTGGAGCGTCAACAAGTTCAGGAAATGCTAACTCTAGTAACTTGGGTAATTTAGCGGAACGTAATGGTAGTGGAGGGAATAATATGTCATCGTCAGTTGACGCTAGGCCTTCCACATCATCACAATCTGCCGCAGCATCAGCTTCTGCTTCAGCAGCAGTTGTTCAAGGCTTACCACGGCGAATTCCCTTGTCAACCATGGGTGGTGGAGATGGTAATCGTTCAAGTGCAAGCAGTGAAGGTTTCTGCGAAAATGAAGATTTTGGTGGCGATAGTAGCAGCAACAATTTATGCATATCTGACAATGATAATGGTCGGAGTATAAATCCAAATAAATTTCCAATGCCGCAACAACAGACGTCGACTTCTAAATCAATATCACATTCGGATTCACAGCAGTCATTTAATGATTCGTCTCCCGACGCCTTGGATGTGGCCGATGAAGGAAACAAAATGTCGGGTTTCTCTTTGCCTACAACACCTACGAATAAAGCTATCGTTGCCACACTTGCATCGCAATCTTCATCAGATTCTTCAACTTCATCTTCCTCTTCATCGAACTCTTCTTCATCTTCATTGTTGATTGCGTTGGGTTCTGAAGCGCCCGGTTGTAGTGGAAGTGGTGCCGGTGCACTCGAAACTGATAAATCTTTAAATCTCCAAGATGCCAGAAGGATATCGAAAGATGAATCATTTTCGTCATCAAGTGATGAATTTGTATCTCAAGACGTTAGCAAACATCGCTCCGCTGAAGATTTAACGCCAGTGCCAAGTACATCGGCCGCTGCCAGAGCGGCTCTTATGAAGGCTCAAGGCAATGCAAGCTCACCTTCACCCTCGAATACAGTGGTAAACGAAGTGGCCACCAGTGCACCGCTTAATAATAAATCGATGAATCCTACGACTCCAACAACTACCGCATCGTCGTTATATGCCGGGCCCTCGACATCAGCACAGGCTATGGCGACGAATATGGGCCCACTGCCTTCGACATCTACATCCAATACCACATCGGAAAAGCCACATATTTTCTCAAACCTCAGACCATCCGAAGATGCGTGGGACATTCTCCTGGCCCGTGCCGAGGGCTTACACGCTCATGGACATGGTCGGGAGGCCTGTATATTGGCAGTACGCTTGGCTGAGGAAATGTTGGAAAATCCTCCAAATTTGATGATGGAAATGCCACCAGCTCCCAAACGAAAAGGCAAAAACAAGAATATCAATCCAATTTCTCATCATCTGACCGTATTGGCCTCGGCCACGCTGACCAAGTGCGCTTTCCTCTGCACTGTACTTTCAGAAAATTCTGAACACTATCATATTGGTTTTCGTATTTGTATTTTTGCTTTGGAAATGGCTCGTCCGCCGGCAAGCACTAAGCCATTGGAGGTTAAATTAGCCAACCAGGAGGCTGACATATTGACGCTCTTGAAGAAAATACCTATTGACGAACCAGAATTGGAGGTAATACGAGCACGCGCAGAACGTCTACGCAATGGCACTATGAAGTCACGGGGGGAGGCTTTGTTGCCCATCAATTTGGCTTCATACATCTTTGATGCCCTGGTAATGCCATCCGTATCCATGAAAGATCAACGAATACGCAGCATGAGTATCTATCGGCCCATAACAGATGAAAATCTGGGCTTTGAAGCGGCTGTGGCTGCGCTGGGCTTGAAGGCAAATGTGTCCGAAGCAGAACATCCTTTGCTATGTGAAGGTACTCGACGCCAGCGGGGTGAACTGGCTTTAACACTGCTGTATTTCTATAAAGATGACCCACATAAGATTGCCAAAATTATGGAGAAATTATTGGATCGGGAAATACACACGTTGCTGAAGACACCACTATTACCGGCATACTATTCCAACAATCCACCCGTTAGGACTCCCAACAATTCGGTTAATAGGCATGGTGAGGGTGGTGATTACAATAATCGACACGGCAACAATGCGGCAGTCATAACAGGTGGTTCTGGAAATAATATTGGTGGTGGAAATATGGATTTGTATCATGCCGATTATGCTTCTGTCGGAGGCAATAGTCGACCAACAAGTTCCACAAGTGCAGAACTGGATGTCAATATGGCTGGTTTGAATATTTCATCTCCAGCGAATTCTTCTCTAATGGCGACATCCCAACAAAACAATCAAAGTATGCCAAGCAATGTGCCGACCATGGGTTCACAAACCACCCAGACCACAACAAGGGCAAAAGACTCCCGATACAAAGGCAAGCGAGCATATCCCTCAATTCCGAATCAACCCTCTGAGGCCAGTGCTCATTTCATGTTTGAATTGGCGAAAACAGTTTTGGTAAAAGCCGGAGGAAACAGTTCGACATCATTGTTTACTCAAGCCACGGCCAATCACAATCATCATGGTCCACACAGAGGTCTGCATATGTGCGCCTTCCAATTGGGTCTGTATGCCCTGGGTTTGCACAATTGTGTCAGTCCCAATTGGTTGTCTCGGACATATTCCTCACATGTCTCATGGATTTTGGGTCAGGCTATGGAAATTGGGGCACCGGCTATAAGCTTTCTAATCGATACGTGGGAAGGTCATTTGACACCGCCCGAAGCTGCCAACATGGCTGATCGAGCCTCTAGAGGTTGGGATAGTAATTATCCAGCTGCAGAATTGGCCCTTTCAGTTTTGCCACACGCCGCCGCCCTCAATCCCAATGAAATCCAGAGAGCCATACTTCAATGTAAGGAACAAAGCGATTATATGTTGGAGAGGGCTTGCATTACGGTGGAAAATGCTGCAAAAGGTGGTGGAGTTTATCCCGAGGTGCTGTTTCAGGTTGCCCGTTATTGGTATGAGTTGTACATGCGTAACACCCCCAACAATGGTGGTGGCGAGCATGACCAACACGATGATCACTTGGATCATTCTGCAGCTGTGAGCCTATCGGCACTCATAGAATCTCATCAGCATCATGAAATGCAGATGCAACAACAAGCAGCAGCTGCGGCGGCGGCTGCTAATCAGCAAGCTATGGTTGGTCCTCCATTACAGGGTGGACCGCCCGTACCGCCTGGTGGTCAACCTGGACAACCAGGAGGACCGGTTGTTGTGACGTCTGCTCCTCCAGCTTTCCAACAACAAGTGCCAGCAATGGCTCCCGTGGGAATGGCACCCTATAATGCCTATGGCTTTTGTCAGGGAATGTATCATCACAATCTGCCATATCCGACCAATCAAATTCCCATGTATGTTCCGCAAGGACCACCTCCAGGACCACCGCCCCAAGGGTATCCGGGTTATCCACCACCGCCCCAACAACAGTCTGTTAATCCCACAGCACCGCCACCGAATGCTGGGGTTCCACCCCAACAGTCTCCGTATGTACATCAGGCACAAAATGCTGGAGTATTTGGTCAGATGACGCCTCAAGCAGCCTATCAAGCGGCCACAATGCAGTGTGGACCACCATCGTCATTTGTGCCACAACCACCACCACAAGGTCCCTCCGTCCCGCCAAATGGACCACCACAAATGGCCCAACCACCTCCAGGTATGCAGGCGGCCGCAGCAGCAGCTGCTGCTGTTTACTACGGTCAACAGGCTCCTCCTCCTAATGGACAGCATCCGGCCCAAGCTGCAGCACAGCAAGCAGCAGCTGCTCACCAAATGGCCGCAATGCATCAAATGAGAGCAAATCAACAGCAAGGAGCAGTATATCCCTTTGTACAGGTTCCCCAACAGCAACCTCCGCCACAACAACAAGCTCCACATCATCAACCACCGCCGCACAATATGGTCGGTCATGGAGGGGGACATCATCAGCAAATGGCTCCACCGCCTCAGGGTGCCAACCGTCAAAGACACCCACACCAGTTTACGTGAGTACCGATTCCCTTTTAGATTTGGGCAAAACAACATTAAGTGAATTTTCTCGTTTTTATCGTAGACCCGCCCAATTACGTTACCTCTTGGCCGCCTATAATGTTGGCATGTTAGCTATGGAAACATTGGCAAGGCGCGTTCACGATGATCGCCCTCAGGCCAAGTATGCACGCAATCCTCCCTACGGTGAAGATGTAAAATGGCTATTGAGAATTTCAAAGAAGCTTGGCTCCCAGTATTTACATCAGTACTGCGTTTGTGCCGTCAATTCAATAGTAAGTCCATTCGTCTTACACGATGTGGCCATAGAATCGGCTCATTATTTGGGACGCAACAATCATCAATTGGTCATGCAACATTTGAGATCGGCTCTAACGCCATTGGTACAAAAATGCCAACAAATGTAAGTAAATAGATGAGGATTTTTCGGATTTGAAAATAATTAAATTTTTTTCTGCAGGTATATCCAATGTATACATCAAAAGTTGTATCATTTAACACCAGCGGATTATGAGGACTTTGCCAGCATAATTGTGGCAGCTCGTGCAGCTTTCCAAATTACACCAGAGGGTAGTGCACAATTCAAGGACTGGTTACAATCCATTAAAAGGTGAGGTTACTACTTTTCGCCCATAACTTTAAGGAATGCTTTTCCTACCATTCTGTCATAAATAAATGTTGTTTCTATTTCAACAGATCAAAATCTTGTAAAAAGGAGCTGTGGACACAAATAAATGCTGCCCTTCAAAGTAATGCCAAATGACAAAGACTTGATTCGCATAGTATGACCACATCAACACAACAATCTTCTTCATCAACAACAACACTGGCAGCAACATCTGTCCAAGCGTCCGCATCAGTAGTGGCAGCAGCCGCTGCAACAAGCAATAGCAACATAAATACAACAGGAGCGTCCACAAGTTCTAATGGATTAAATAATATTGGCAACATTGGTGGCACAAGTACCACTGCAACAACAGGTGCACCACCTCCCCTGTATGATGGTCCATCCAGTAGTAAAAATAGTCTTGTCGCTAATGAAACTTTAGCTGTGCGTAATTTGAATTCACCGCTATCGACAACATCGGTGTCTTCGACATTGTCGACGACACCCACAACAACATCGGCTGCATCATCGTTGACCTCTTCGACAAGTTTTTCATTGGGTTATGGAGGCAGTGGTAATGGTGGCCCAAAATCAGATTCAGCTGTTGCCTCGTCGTCGAATAATGTAACAATGCCAACACAACACCAGGTAATTGAGGGTGCCGCTAGCGTAAGTGTAGCTGGCATTGTTGATAGCAATACAATGCTGTCGGATGCATATCATCATCAGCAAATGCAACTGCAGTTGCAACAGCAGTTTGAGCAGCATTATCAAATTCAAAGCTATTATCAATCCCAACACCAGCAACAGCAGCAATCAAAGCAATATCAAGGTTATTATGAACAAAACATGTATTTGCAGCAACAACAGCAGCAACATCAGTCTCAATCCCAGCAAAAGCCACCATTAATGGGCCAACAACAAAATCTGTTAATGTACAGTTCGTCGGAAATGCACAGACCAGCGATTCCCGTTGTTACGTATCATCACCAACAACAACAACAGCATATGCAACATCATCCTTCCTCATCATCCTCTGCTACCATGACAGCATCCAGACAAAGTATACCGCCACCTCCACCACCACCTCCTCCTCCGCCAACATCACAGCAGCCGCCACCACAATCTATTGTGCTAATGGCTGCCAATACAACAACATCCTGTATAACACAATCAAATGCAGCTGGTACTGCAACAACAACGATAACAACTACAACAAAAGCTAACAACAACCACTTGTATACACAACCACAACAACAATCAATGAATTTTGTAAATGTCCCAAATGCTGTTGGAAGTGGAGGCGCTGTTGGTGGAGTTAGTGCAGGAAGAGTTGCAGGATCCAGTGGTTGTGCAGTTTTCAATGGTGGTAGTGGTAATACCATAGCAATAGAGTTACGAACTTATAATCAACAACAACAACAGCAAACACAACATCATCAACAATATCACAATAATTTCAATCATCATCACCATCTTCAAAATTCAACAAATAATCCAAATAATGCTGCTGGCACAGCTTCTTCTACATCTTCGACATTGCCATTACCATCAACTGCTGCAACACAACAACCAGCCGCTTCTTCTTCGTCATCTGCATCCGCATCGGCGTCATCATCATCTTCTACACCATCGTCATCATCATCAGCATCATTTGTACCGCCATTAGTTCCACAAACAGCTCCGCCCGCTGTAAATCTAATTATGGCCACTCATGGCCAACAAATACCACCACCACCGCCGCCAACGTATCAGCCACATCATTATCATCACCATCATCATCACGCCCCTCATCAACAGCAACATCAGCATCAACAGCAACAACAATTGCATCATCAATATCACAATTTGTCTCAACTCGGCCATTATCATCAGCAACTTTAACAACGTTTTTATTACATGTTCGTTGAATTGTAAAAATTATTTTGATTATATTGAATTTCTTCTAATTTCAACCCTGTTCGGTATACTCACACTTGTAATTGTAATTATTTTCATTTATTTTCTGGGTATATTCTAAAAAAGAAAAGAAAAACTTACACGTACATGCGGCATAGAAAAAACTTCTATTTGGCAAAAAATCGTCAATGCATTGATTCTTTGAAACAAATATGAACTTTTCTATTAATGGAAAAGCTTTTACTGGCCACGTTTATAGATCGAATGGGATACTTACAGAAAAAATATCGAAAATTCATTGTCTTCAATTTATTTTCTTATCAAAATTGTTTTCCCAATGGAAACATTATTTTCGTCTACTTATTTCCCATCCGTCTATCATATCAATGATTTATAAGGGTTCTAATAATTTTCTCTATTTTGTTAAAATTAATTGATGAACTTTCGCATATGATTTATCCATTTTTGTTTTCTTAAAAGGTTCATATCTTCTTTTATGGACCCCAAAGGGGCTCATGTGCACGTTTGTGGTTCCCAAACAAATTTCAATGTAAAACTTATTTTTTTACAGTGTAATTGTTTTCCCAATGGAAACTTTATTGCCCTCTATCTATTTCCCATCCGTCTATCATATCAATGAGTTATATGGTTCTAACAATTTTCCCTACTTTGTTAATTTTTGCCTAGCAGGTGGAACAAACATTAATTGGTAAACTTTCGCACATGATTTACCAATTTTTTTCTTAAAAGGTTTATATCTACTTTTGTGGGCCCCCAAATGGGCTCATGTGCATGTTTGTGGTTCCCAATCAAATTTTAATGCATTGGAGTATTGCTAGATATTCTTGGAGTTATTGTAAAATTTCGATATACAAAATTTATTTTTTTGTAGTTCTGAATTGGGGTCATGTTAGAATCAAGAAGGTAAACATATATCTACATTTTTTTTCCAAAATTCATTGTCAAAATATATATTTATAAATCCCATTATAAGTACACAAATCAGAGATGGAAACTTAGTTTTCATGCAGTGAAATTTGACAAGGTAAATTACAGAAAATGTAGAGATGGGTACGCTTTTTTGAAATGATTTTTCCTTCTTAAGGTTATCATGATTGAGGACACTTTATATAATGCTTTTAATTAAGTTATTTAACACTAAAAGTTAAAATATATGTTCTTTGGTTCATACTGTCCATATGTAACTATGCCGTAGTTAAGTTTGGTTCAAAAATTGGAACAAATATATTTTTTACAGGTCCATATTATGATATGCTACATATACCAGCAATTTTATTCAAAAACAAATTGTTTAACAATCCATAATCAGGTGACACATTAACTATTTTGGGTCGTTCAAGTTATGCAATTCATGTATAGATCTGTAAGAAAATCAATTCTGAAATGAAGACACCATTATTCTTGTGTGTGTAGCACCAAAATCCGAAGACTCCACTTCTAATTGAAATTTCTGTTACACTATTATTTGTTGTGCTCTATAAAGCTAAAAATTAAGGTATATAATCTTGTCTATGCAGTGGAAAAAATTTTCGATAAACAACATTTCGAGAATCATTTCAATTCAAACTTTGTAACTTTTTCTTTTAACCAGATCAGCGCAGTCAAACCATTTTTGAGCAGACTTCACTCCAGCGACTTTTTTGAATGAATTCAATTAGAATCTTCTAGGTCGACTTCTAAATGAAAACCCCTATGTTACTGGAAACCATTATCTTTTTATACCCATCAACGTGGATTTGAGGACATATTAAATTTCGTAAAATTTGATGAATTATTTGAACAGTTTTTTTTTTAAGAAATGTTTTAACAAAATTAAATTGAATGACGTTTGGACTGCTTCAATTTCTAGGTAATTGGTGGCCGAAAACGTCTTGTTTTGGATATATGTTAGACGGTTTTTAAGGGGTTATCGTAGATTGAAGTCGATGTTCTATGGGTGATGATAGGAATTGTTTATTCCGTTTTTTTTATACCCTACTCCGCAAAAATTCGATGGGTTAGAACATATACTACAAAATTTAGCCTAGAAGTACGAATGTCAAATTTGGAATCGGTTTCATCCATTTTGATATTTTAGTCCCCCAAAGACGTTATTTGCATTCTAGAACAATGATATTCGGTATACGACTTCAGATACGGCCTAGAAATATCATTGCCAAGTTTTGAGGAGATCCGTTTAGATTGGGATATAGGTCCCATATATATCCTCTCCGGATTTGACGTTTGTTGTGCACCAAATGTATATTATTATCCCAAAATGGATGCATTTTGGCACATACGACCGAATGTGAGAGTGCAACAAATTTGTTGAAAATCTAGATTTTAATTTAGGTCCAAGCAGTGATATCTGGTACGAGAGGTCAAAAATGCCTCCGTCATATTTAGTGGAAATCAATTAAGTTATAGCTTCCATAGGTTGTCAAAAGTAAACCGCTCTAAAGTCGTTACACGAAATCAACGGTTATAGTTGGAATTATTTGATTCACATAAATTCCAAATATAAACGATTATTTGTTGCAGGAAGTGGTGTTGTCGGACCCGCCGGACTATTGTCCCTTCTTTACTAGTTTCCAGCCGTATATACTTTTTTGCCTCACTTAAAACGTACATTTTTAAAGCCGAATATTTTGTTTCCAGTCCAACAATTTTATCCGACTACAATTTATACGCTCCGACTTGGGTTCCGAAGCCCTGATTATTACGACTAAATGATCCAGAGTATAAATCCTAAATGGTTCAGATTAGAATGCTTAAATAGTAGTCCTTTTGACCGTTATGGTGGATCGCCTATAATCTATATCTCCTTGCTTTTTAGAGACACCAACAGTTAGACAATCGACATTTTGAATTCTGATGCTCAACTCCAAGGGTATTTTTTTTTATTTTTAATGCAGAAGGTACGTTTTCTGTATGAATTAATTGTTTCTCCTTGGTAACATTTCTAATCAATGTCATAGCGCAACTTTTACAAATTATATCTCTGATTTAAGGGCAGATCATATTTTTTCCTTTTTTCAATTAGAAGGAATTTCATTGTGTTTGAATACCTAACTTTTACTCTAACCTAACCTGTGGAATATTACAAATTCGACAACGTTGCTTAAAGTATGTTGAATTAGTGGGCAATTTCTTTCAGCAAGACAAGAGGAAGGACGAAAATCTTTTGATACTGTTTTTGTTGATAAAGTAGTACTTCATTATTTTGAGAGTAATGTACAATACGAATTTTAGAATACATATATTTTATCATCAATTCACACCACCGCAAAACAGAATAGAATCGATATTTTTTATTGTTAATTTATATTTGTTTAAAATAATGCATATAACAATTCAATAATCTCCAATTCCCAAACTCCCCCTCCCCCATCATCAATGCAGCTTCACCTACCTACCCACCCACCACTCACACAGACTGACCCGACTGACATTTTGTTATTTAAGATTTCGTTGCAGAGTAAAATTAAAAAAAAAAAAAAAAAACAAAACGAAAAGACAAAAAACATAATTGTTGAATGAAACATTTGATTTCTCTTTGTTCTCTTTTTCTTCTTGTATTTAGAAAAAATATACATATATTTTAGTTTATTTTTTTTCTCTTAAAAATTAAGGAAAATATTGAAAAATAATAATAAAAAAAATCAAACAAAAAAAAAATCATCATTTTTCAAAATCATTAAAAAATTATCTCTTTCTGAGAACGCTACTGATTTGTTTTTGTTTATTTTCTAATTTCAAAATGTGTTCATCATCATTTTAAAATGATTTCTTTTTATTTAACAAATATTTTTTACATTTTTATATACATTTTTTGTTTTACAAAAAAAAGAAGAAAATCATATAGATATTTTATATTAATATATTATTTACATATACACATTTTTCATAAATTAATTTTTTTATTATAATTTTTTTTTTCAGCCTAATTTAAGAATTTTATATTTAGTTACATTTTTTTTCATTTATATATATATTTTATTGTGTAATTTAGAAGTTTTGAATAAATATGGTTTTTTGGATTTATTTCAAAACTCTCGCAAAAAAAGGATTTTTTACGTCTTTTTTTAATTTTTTTATTTGGTCAGTGACGTGGACTGTTTGCCTCATAGCAATTAATAATTTTATATTTTTTTAATGCAAAAAGTCGGTAAATTTTAACGATTGGGAATTTTTTTTGTTGCACAAGATGTTTATTTATTCTTTGATACAACTGGACGGGGAAGTTCTCTCCGCAGTTCTCTAAAACGGTAAACTATCTGAATTTAGATCAATAAACATTCCCACAGCTAAGGAAATTACTAAGTTCAGATTATCTTAGATGACACGAGAGAGTTAAAAGATCTGAGAGCTATCCACCTAACTAACAACCAAAACCGGGCAAGACAAATTAATTTTTATACCCCCAGCCATGCAGGGTGAGATAAAAAACGCCATAATTTTTGATTTTTTTTTTTTTTTGAATGAAAGCAAAAAATGTCGAAAATAGCATCAAATTTTAGAATATGTTTAAATTTGTTCGAATTGGTCACCTTTGGCACGAATTATGTCCTTCAAATGGCCAATGAAACCATCACACGCTGGCCGTATGTTCCTCTGCGGTATTTTGGCCCATTCCCGGCGAAGCGCTTGCTTGAGATGATCGACACTTTTAGTGCCAACTTTGCTTTTCAAAATACTCCAGACACAATAGTCCAACGGATTGGTATCCCAAGATTTTGGTGTCCATTGTGGGCTGGAAATGAAGCGAGGAACCTCATTTTGGAACAATTCTTGGGTGGCGTGAGCTGAGTCCTGTTGAAATGTTTGCGTGCCCAAGGCTTTAATACAC